ATCCCCTGTCAATGATGATTTGACGAGCCCCTGTCAACGATGTTCCTGCAAGCCCCTTTCAACAATATGATGAAGGAGCTTGTGTCTACGAGATGAATTCACATAACAGCTTCGGCAGAGGTTATAAGATAATTAGGATTTTCCTCCAGTCACACGAACTAACGCAGAGGGATATTAACATTAATAACAGTCACAGCTCTCTTGAAAGGTGACACAATAATATACATGGTCATACATATGTAATATATTTTGTTATTATAATGCTAAAGAGAGAGAGAGAGAGAGAGAGAGAGAGAGAGACAGAGAGAGAGAGACTACAGGAGAGGCAGTGACGCGGTACCTTCAGGAATTTGCACCAGTAGCACGGTATAAGTCTGCCCAGCTCGACACACGGTGTAAGGTGAGCACCTTCTCTAAACCACCTGTCGAGGCGTCTCATCTGTGAGTTTTAGTGTCTACTCTCCTCCACAAACTATCCTTCTTTAGAATACACAGACTATCCTCCTTCAGGAAGCACCACAAACTATCCTCCTTCATGAGGCAGATAGTTTTATATGATAGTTACACTCTGGGAACACACGCAGTATGCTGCTATGCTGCTATTGTGAGAACAAAGTCATATTCCATCACACAAGATGGGTTACCCAGTCATATTCCATCACACAAGATGGGTTACCCAGTCATATTCCATCACACAGGGTGGGTTACCCAGTCATATTCCATCACACAAGATGGGTTACCCAGTCATATTCCATCACAAAGGATGGGTTACATGCCAGAAGTAATGAAGTGTGTCAGGCTGAGCTGGATTACAGTAGTGTAATGAGGATATCGTTAAGCATTCCACTGTGGGTACAGTAACTACAGCAGCTTCATGTACTAATGTAATAGAAAGAATTGAGGGAAGAGATGTGGCAGAGGTGATGGAGAAAATAATGATAGGTATTGATTAAGTTATTATCTCATTATTATTATTATTATTATTATTATTATTATTCTGGGGAAGTGGTAAGCCCATATTTGTCTAACAATGCCTGGGGAGATAATCAAGTCTGATCCAAGGAATGGGGGAAGGCATCCCCATTTCTTTGGATCAACAGCCCTTCATAAGGATCAAGGTAAACTTCTTCCTCTGAAGTGTCTGCCTCTAGTGATGGTCAGGGAATAACACGATGCAAAAAAAAATCATCTCTGTTTATTTTGTCACTGACGGATGTTTGACGATTGTTTAGTCTATGGTGATGTTTTGACCGTGAGAGGGTCAGACTCCGGCGATGTTTTGACCGTGAGAGTAGGCGTTGTTGTAGCCTTCGACGATTGCTGTAATGATTAACGAATTTGCTAACGGGGTTTAAAAACCTGTTGACTACACGAAGGTCATTAAAGTTGCCTGTCACCTGTTCCCCACTAGTCAAGAATAATGTAATAACCTAAAACGGGGAGCGAAGCAAACTCTCAGTGTATATACAGTGAGAGATACACACCTCCGTGTGTGTATACTGTGTAGTTACTTGAGTTTTCCACGCTGTGTGTGTGTATGTTGATGGCTGGTCAAGTTACCTCCCTTCCTGATAGTTTACCCGGTGTGTGCGACGAAGATACATCAATAGGTAACATGAAACCAATGCTGCTGCAAGAGAAACAAGTGCTGGCAAGGGAGTTCGATACTCTGTAACATGTGCTTGTATGCTAAAATAGGAGTCTTTACTGTAGAATGAGTGCTTGAACGCTATAATGGGATACTGTGGTATAATACTATATACATATTAAAAACTAAGAGAATAATGTATGAGAGTTTGCTGGTAAGAACACAACCGTGTGTATACCGGTTGTTTCAAAATGTTGAATTGTAAGTGAAATTGAACGCAATATGTTAGATGTGTACTCACCTATTTGTACTCACCTATTTGTGGTTGCAGGGGTCGAGTCTTAGCTCCTGGCCCCGCCTCTTCACCGGTTGCTACTGGGCCCTCTCTCTCCCCGCTCCATGAGCTTTATCAAACCTCGTCTTAAAACTGTGTATGGTTCCTGCCTCCACTACGTCATTTTCTAGGCTATTCCACTGCCTTACAACTCTATGACTGAAGAAATACTTCCTACTATCTCTCTTACTCATCTGTGTCTTCAACTTCCAATTGTGGCCTCTTGTTTCTGTGTCCCCTCCCTGGAACATCCTGTCTTTGTCCACCTTGTCTATTCCACGCAGTATTTTATATGTCGTTATCATGTCTCCCCTGACCCTCCTGTCCTCCAGTGTCGTCAGGCCGATTTCCCTTAATCTTTCTTCATAGGACATTCCCCTTAGCTCTGGAACTAACCTTGTCGCAAACCTTTGTACTTTCTCTAGTTTCTTGACGTGCTTTATCAAATGCGGGTTCCAAACAGGTGCTGCATACTCCAGTATGGGCCTGACATACACGGTGTACAGTGTCTTGAACGATTCCTTACTAAGGTATCGGAATGCTGTTCGGAATGTGTGTGTATGTATGTGTGTGTATATTTGTGTGGCAACAAGCCCTTCCACTGAGATAATCCTAGTTAAAATTATCGTCTGATCACTTCTTGGGAGTGTACACAAGACACAACATTCCACTGGTAGCTGCTAGATCTCTGTTTCTCATTCTGGTTGTCCTTACTGCCTTCCTGGTCACTCGCCTCAACCCTCAGGTCATTATTATTGGTGTAGGTCTTTGCTAGCCTTTCCTATCCTCACCCGAGGCAGGTTTACCTGCTATAATAACTCATGGGAGTCATGGCATAAGTGCTGTGTGAGCCGCTCGTTAAAATAAAGACAATGTAACATGATAACTTCAGTGACCTATATAATATTCTCGTTAGAATCTGCGGTGGATGGGAGGGAAGCAAAACAAAACACGCGAATGTAAATGATATCAAAAATACGTCCAGCAGACAGGAAACGCAGACTCTGCAGACCGGCTATGACCATCAGAAGCGCTTGTGTTGCCCTTGAGAGCAGGAGAGCCGAGACGGTGGGATGACAAGGGACCTTCCGTATTGACCCCAGCCTATTTCCGGCTCTCTTGGCATAAGTCAGGTGATGCTGTGGCCTCAGATACACACACACACAACTATATGAACAGCAGTTAAGTCAACCTTGTACCAAGCTACAGGTGCTACAAAATACATGTCCCTAAACTAGAACGGGCATCATCACACATATAACCCGTCGTGGACTTCTACGTTCTAACTTTTTGTGACGAATCTCTCATCAATCGCTTTTAAAATAGACATAAATATAATATTTTGAAAAAAAAAAAAGATGTTATAGAGAGGGATTGGGTGTTGACCTTGACCAGTCAGCTTCAACGTACGTCCCTTCGTTGCTCAACGAGAAGTGACCTTCACAGCTCGATGCATCAGACAACTTCCTGATGGACAAGTTGAGACAAAACTACAGTTAGGGAGGACAATGGTAGTTCCTGACGAGGACTCCAGCAAGGTGCCTCCTGGTGCCTGGACTGAAGCATTCCATGTGTACTCACCTATTTGTGGTTGCAGGGGTCGAGTCATAGCTCCTGGCCCCGCCAATTCACAGGTTGCTACTAGGTTCACTCTCTCCCTGTTCCATGCGCTTTATTATACCTCTTTTTAAAGCTATGTATGGATCCTGCCTCCACTACCTCACTTTCCAGACTATTCCTCTTACCGACAACTCTATGACTGAAGAAATACTTCCTAACATCCCTGTGACTCACCTGAGTCTTCAACTTCCATCTGTGACCCCTTTTGTTGCTGTGTCCCATCTCTGGAACATCCTGTCTCTGTCCACCTTGTCACCTTGTGTATGTGTAAACACCTGTTTGTACTTACCTATTTGTGGTTGCAGGGGTCGATTCACAGCTGCTGGCCCCGCCTCGTTTGGTCACTACTAAGTCCATCCTCTCCCTGCTCCATGGATGGGGGTAAGGACATTTGTGTAGTGTTCACGGCATTTATTAAATGTAACGTTTCGCCACGAGAGGCCTCATCAGTCCTAATTAGGACTGATGAGGCCTCTTATATCGAAATGTTTCTTCTAATAAATGTGCTGAGCTGTACACAGGTGTCCTTTTCCACAGTGTTTGAGTATTACCAAACCATTTGCAACCATGGTAGGTGGGATTTTGCACGTGTCATACAGTGGTCAGGAATTTAGCTTGTGATGATTAGCAGTGAAGGGAGGAATGACCTCTGGAATGTCTTTTTTTTTTTTTTTTTTTTTTGCAGTCTTGCCTTTATCTCTTTCTCTCTCTCTCTCTCTCCCTCTCTCTCATAGTGTTCCGTTCATCCACAGGACACCAGTGGAGTGAACAACGAGACTCCACTATAAGGTCACAACACTCTTCCTCCGCCGATTACACCTCCACATCCAGCTTCGCCGTCCATACTCCAATTGCCCGCGTCTTTACTACCCACTCCACTCTCGAACCTACACACTCAACACTCCACACTCGAACCTACACACTCAACACTCCACACTCAAACTTACACACTCGACGCGCAGTGATCGGGGTTTCCAGCCGGCCACTCGACCTATGGAAAATACCATAGGGTAGTGAACCCTTGTATACGACTGCTTCACCATTGGCTTCTAAGGGGGACCTACACCTCTAGCAAGTCTCAGACGCGGCCTAGACGAACCTTCCACCAGCGTCAGACAGCAGACGTTCTAAGACCCGGCAGAGGAAGACGTTGGGACTGCAGCAGCAGCAGCAGCAGCAGCAGCACAGCAGCAGCAGCAGCACCAGCAGCAACACCAGCAGACCAGCAGCACCCAGCAGCAACCCACCAGCAGCAACACCAGCAGCACAGACACACAGCAGCAGCAGCACAGCACCAGCACACCAGCACAGCAGCCAGCAGCAGGCACCAGCAGCACCAGCCCAGCAGCACAGCAAGCAACCAGCAGCCAGCACCAGCAGCCAGCACAGCACACCACAGCAGCCAGCAGCACCCAGCACCAGCCAGCAGCATAGCAGTCACAGAAGCACTTATCACTCGTGCTGTCCTTAATCAACACAATGGTAAGAACAAATTTTCATTTCCTCCAGTGTGAATTTCTTAACTAGCCTTTTCTCTCTCTCTCTCTCTCTCTCTCTCTTCTCTCTCTCTCTCTCTCTCTCTCTCTCTCTCTCTCTCTCTCTCTCTCTCTCTCTCTCTCTCTCTCTTCTTCTTCTTCTTCTTCTTCTCCTCCACAGATATATTCCTCACTATTTCATCATAGTTGTTTCTTCCCTTTCCTATTTCTGTGTTTTTCTTCTCATTATTATTATTATTATTATTATATTATTATTATTATTATTATTATTATTATTATTATTATTATTTACAGCCTGTTTATAGATATGTAAGTATTTACCAGAATATTCTCTCTTTATTATGTTTGTATGTGTGTGTACGTGTTTGTACATGTGTATGTGTTTGTACGTGTGCGTGTGTGTACGTGTTTGTACATGTGTATGTATTTGTGCGTGTGCGTGTGTGTACGTGTTTGTACATGTGTATGTGTTTGTACGTGTGTGTGTGTATGTGTTTGTACGTGTTTGTGCGTGTGTGTACGTGTGGCAGGCCACGGTAGGATTTCTGCAAATGCTGACGTTGCTGCTGCTACTGCTGCTGACACTGCTGACACAAGCCGTACTGAGCAAGCCTCGCCGTCGACACCACCACGGAGAGGTCAGCATCACTCCTCTCCTCTCCTCTCCAATACCTCTTCATAATTATCATCATCATAATTATCCTCATCATTACTGTCACCACCACAAATCTCATTATAATGCTAATTACAGTATATTTCATCAACGGTAATTACCTGTGACCATCACACATCTACCCACCTGATCAACACTCATTTTACAAGATCAAACTGACTTTAGAATCAATTAGAAAACCATCAGTCTCTCTGACATCAAAATGCTGCCTTTCAGTTTGCCTGATGATGTCACGTTATTACAGATAATTGATAATTCTAACTGCTAGTTCCCTAGGGTGATTATTTTTAGGTCTGTATCGGGTTCTAGGGTTATATAATTGATTTGCCTACGGTATATTATTATTATTATTATTATTATTATTATTATTATTATTATTATTATTATTATATTATTATTATTTATTTTATTGTTGCTGTCACTCACACCTGCCACTCACACCAGCCACTCACACCTGCCACTCACACCTGCCACTCACACCTGCCACTCACACCAGCCACTCACACCTGCCACTCACACCTGCCACTCACACCAGCCACTCACACCTGCCACTCACACCTGCCACTCACACCTGCCTACATACCTACACTAACCATCACACTATCACAGACCTGCCCACATACAGACACACACACACACACCCGGATACCTCTTCAGGTTTACTCCAGGTATACGTTGACATACAAACAGTGCAACACACCGTCCATCCCTGAGTTGCAGAACATAACAGTGAGTGTTGCCAGGTGTTGCTAAACATATATCAGTACACAACCCGCACATAGGAGAGAGCGGAGCTTAAGACGACGTTTCGGTCCGACTTGGACCATGTACAAAGTCCTATTTGTGGGTTAGTGCTGTATTGTTTCCTGTCATGGCATTGTGCCATCTTGTTCTTTATTAATTATCAGTTTTCTGACTGTTGAGAAACTGGGCCGCGATTAATTACTGAAAGATCGATCCAGCCTCAACTGCTCCTTACATTGTATGGCCTACACACGTACGTTGATTCTTGGAATGCAGTCTACATTGGTGTTGTGTGTGTGTGTACTTGGCAGTGCCTCCTGCAACAGGCCCAGAGAGAGGTTAAACACCTGAGGGATTACTGTGAAGGCAACCCAGAGGCTCACAGAGTATTCTCAGGGATACCTGTCTTCTCACTCTGCAAGGATGACTTTAGTGCCATTGAAGACTTTTCTTTAGGTAAGTTGAGAGAGTGAGTGAGAGAGAGAGAGATTTAAAGCCAGGCGTGGGTATAAAACTTATGTTCAATACAAAAGAGGAAGGCATAAGGAGAGGAGTTTCAGGTAATATATATATATATATATATATATATATATATATATATATATATATATATATATATATATATATATATATATATCCTGACTGAAGTATCTAATAGTCAGTTGAAAACAAAATCATTATTTTAATTTTCTCTCAATAGACTAGACGTGAACCATAGACCTGAACACCCAAAGTACAGGAGATGGGGAGAGAGAAAGGGGAGAGGGAGAGAGAAGAGAGAGAGGGGAGAGGAAGAGGGGAGAGAGAGGGCTTGCCAGATACAGTTAGCACGGCAGATGAAAACTTAGAAGTAAAGATATGAGAGGAATTTAGGGAAAGAATTAAGAGCCATTACTGAAATATTCCATAGATGAGCAACAATGTGTGGAGTTGGAGTCATTACCTGGTTTGAGATGACAAATATATGTACACTCACTGGGGTGAGGGGAATCATATTTAAATCTAATTAATCTCTCTTCTGCCACCACCAGAACCCCAGGAAACAATGAAGAAGTGTTGCAGGAACCCTGACCTCACCGAGTGCTCAGACAAGGAGTGGAGAGACGTCCTCCTGGCCCGATACATCCGCGTCCTCTGTGATCTCACACACTGCGATAACAGTCCTCCTATATCCTAGAAGACATCCTATGGATACTTCTAAGAACGTACCTTTCACAGCACTTGTATGAGCCACCTCAGGCTACGCACGGCATCTGATGTACAAAAACCCAAAGGCAGCGACGCTACTGTGGAATTCTGGACACGTAGTTAGTTACCATTTCTGTAGTGTCTTCTCTATGGTGTTTCCAGAGAGAGGACCTCCAGCCTGACCTCCCACCGGAGATCACGACTTGGAGGTGCATTTAACCCACACGGTATAAAAAAAATAATCGCTGATGTGCAACTTCAAACTCATTACAAAAACCTAAAGAAATTTTTTTTTTCAACTATAATGGTTAAAATTTTATCGAAATTCAATATCTCATTTGTTGACTTTTAAACATGAGGACATTAATCGAAGTGCACACGCGTACACACACACACACACACACACACACACACACACACACACACACACACACACACACACACACACACACACACACACACACACACACACGTTCAAAAACTCTCAAACATGCTCACATGTGCTCTTAGGTGTCACATAAGTTCACATGTGCTCACATACTGTCACTTATGTGCTCACACGCTCACATATCTCACATACGTATATTCCCTATATGCTCCTATAGTGATATTACCGTCACATAATACTACAAACATTCATATACTCTCAAATACGCATGCTCATATGCTGACATATGCTCTCAGAGAGCTACACATGCTCACATATGCCCACATACGCTGATATATGCTCAGATACGCTCATATATGCTAGTATACCTGTGCCAATATTATCTCAGGCTTATATTTAGTATTATTATCCAAGTAAATCATAAAATATACATGTCGTGCCGATTTTGCATTAAATAGCAACGCTCTTCTTGCCGAATAAGACAAGTGAAAATTTGTGTATGCAGTAATTTCGCAAAAACCATTCTGAAACTAACGAAAAAAATTATATTTCATTGTATTTGTTTATTATTAAATTATTATAGTTATACAAAATATATTTAGTTGGATTAGTCTAAATTAAATTACGTTCGTTATAATAAGGTTAGGTAAGTTTCCTAAGGTTCTTTTGGTACAAAATCACTAATTTTTACATTAACATAGCTGAAAAAGATATATCTTCAAATGTATAAAAAAAATTAGGATTTAATTTTAAATGAGTTCTTGCTAAGTGACCAGTTTTACCTATTCGGCACGACATATCCGAGATTGTTTATAAGAAAGTGCCTTAAAGATAACAGAACTACAATTATATTATCGTATATTACATTTTATCTTTTGTATATTGGCTGATTGTACAGCGAATTTCCTTACTGGTACGTAATATTATTAGTATAATCAAAAAGAAGCGCTAAGCCACAAGGGCTATACAGCTGTGATACGTAATAAAGAGATATAACTGTGTGAGGTGTTTGTTATGGTGTCTCCTGGGTGTTGGTAACGAAATACGTCGGGGAAACGTCACTCGTTAGCTGAACGAGGGATGAGTGGAAGACCACTCAATGTGCAGCTTCGAGTATAGGCACGACTGGGCGATTGGATAACCAAGGAACCATCAACGTTAATTTTCCCTGGAAATGATCATCATCGTAATAATAGTTAAATAATAAGAAGAAATAATAGTAATGATCTTTTCACGTTTTTTCTAAGTATAGATAAAGGAAATTAATTTTGAGAGATTAGATGCTGACTTGTGTACTGAAGCCGGATATTGCTGTGTGTGCGTGTGTGTGTGTGTGTGTGTGTGTGTGTGTGTGTGTGTGTGTGTGTGTGTGTGGGTGAGTGTGTGTGTGTGTGTGTGTGTGTGTGTGTGTGGATGGCCGACACTCCATCACCCTGGGACAGGATATATAGAGGCTGGTTATAATAATTCACGACCACTGGGCATCCTCCACACGGACGGCTTCCCTAGGAAGGCTCCCCAAGGACGCCCGCGGGACACTGCTACTTCCCCACGGACACCTGCACAGGAAACCTCTCCACGAACACACCAGGATTGTAAAGCCATTCCTGCCACTCACACCTCGAGGACCAGAATCGAACCATGAACACAGAGTTCCGTGGTTCGATACTAGGCACAAGTGGAAAGGTTGGGCATGGTTCGCTATACCTGCTGCCCCTGTTTAGTCGCTTTACACCTCCTGACCCTGTCCACCTAGCAGTAAGTAGGTAGCTGGGTGGGTCGCATCCTGCGGGGTGGTAGTATACCTCACAATCACTCGGGGTCTCACAATCACTCGGACCTTGTGCCTTCATACGGTTTTCTGTGGTTTATTTATCCTTCTGGTTTGAGTCTTGTCTTACCGCTTTCTCTGTTATATATCCTCCTTGATCTCACTGATAACTTCATCCTGTCATTGGACGCCTTTCCCGTCAACTTTCCAGTCTGGCTGTCTGCCTACTTACCGTCTCTGTCAGTTTGGTCTATTCCAGCCTTCGTGCCTGTCTGTCTCTCTTCTAGCCTTCCTGTATGTTTCTCTGCCAGTCTAGTACCTGTCTACCTGCCTGCCTGCCTGTCTACCTGCCTGCCTACCTACCTGTCTACCTGTCTGTCTACCTACCTGTCTACCTGCCTCTCTACCTGCCTACCTACCTGTTTGTCTACCTGTCTGTCTACCTGCTTGCAATCTTGCTACTAACACAGCAAGGCCTGAAGGATGTAACCAAAGTGTCAATACTGATCACTCGTCTTCATGACTTCAGGTCTCAATCATTAGAGCACTTAGTGCAGAGCGAGAAGCAGCACCAGCATCCCTCCCTCCCATCCCTTGCCATCTCCCGTCACCAGTACGGCCTCTGTCAATCAAGCGGCACTCTGTCAATCACGCCTGCCTCCACCCCGGTTATTAGTTGCAACTACCGCTGCTGGTGCTCGGCCATCACTCCCTCTACTCTTCGACATTTTTAACTGGCTTCGTGTTTTCAAGTCGCGTAACGATAAGATAGTATTCAAGTGAAGCATTTATTAGCAAATGCTGTTTTAGCAATACTGTTATGGTGAATCGAAGGCAGGTGCTTTCAGTCGCTTATTACAACGTTTTGGTTAACTTGTGTGTGTGTGTGTGTGTGTGTGTATGTGTGTGTGTGTGTGTGTGTGTGTGTGTGTGTGTGTGTGTGTGTGTGTGTGTGTGTGTGTACTCACCTAATTGTGGTTGCAGGGGTCGAGACTCAGCTCCTGTGCTTATGTGTGTTCGTGTGTGTGTGTGTGTTTGTGTGTGTATGTGTGTGTGTTTTCGCCGATGTATATTAATGTATATTCAGTTTGTGTATGTTGTTTAGTGTATTAGAAATGTTTATTAAGGCAGGATTGAAGGTGGTTGCTGGTAAACTGCACAGCGATTGTTGGTCAGTTGTTTGCCCCATCTTACACCAGCAGGCAGCCTGGGTTTTAATTGGGTCGTCAGTGGCCCGCACAAAATGTTCTGACTGGCTGACAGCCACGCTAAGGTGAGATGATACTGGCTGGGCAAGACACCACCAGACAATCTAATACCGCTGATTATATATCTTGTAATTCTGGTGTTGTGTTCCTGCGTTCTGCCGCCTCCCTCAGTAGTTCTGGGTTCTAGCGTCATCGTCGAGGTGGATGCTCCTAGTTCTTCCTTCTTAAGGAGCCTTCCAGTGAGGAAACAGTTCACGGAACGAGTGGAAGTTAATCCTAAAACTCCAGGCCAGTACTCGCTTATTAGTGGTTGCAAGGGGTCGAGTCACAGCTGCTGTTGTAAACAGACTTGCGGAAAGTACATCACTGTCAACTCGTGCCTTCCATTACAGAGAATCTGCATCAGGTCACAAAATATTCAATGCAGGGGCCAAGGGTTCTTATCCTTAAGTGTATATACGGACGCTCTCACCCTCCCCTAGCTGCCTCGACGTCTCTTCATAACACAGGCAGTTTAGTCGTCCATAGTAGCTCCAATGGTAATTACATAGCTATACCTACCTATCCCTTGTACATACCTATACTTACTTATGCTTACCTATCCCTGTACATACCAATATCTACCTATCCCCCTACCTACCCAAGGTATTTATTCCTGCCACAGTAAAAGTCTACTCAATAATACCAGAGTAAAAGTATTTACAGCATTTAATTTGTTTGATGTAATCGTTCTGGAGAATCGACTTTTTTTTTTTGAGCTATTGCGGAAACTGGTGATGATTAAACAGTATCAGACACTCTTACGGGACCAGTTATTAAAGGGGGTTGGATACTGTGTGTCTGTAAATTTACATATATTTTTATTTAAAGGATAACTTTCACCTTTTTGTATCGACTCGTCCCTGAGGGGAAAATGGACGCGAATGTATTCGCCAATGACATTTATGCTGAAGACGTTTCGCCCGTTTGAACCCCCGATTACTTTGGTGTTTGAAGGAATCGAGGCTCGAAACATCTTCAGTAAAAGCTACCCTCAGTGAATGTATTAAGTGCTTTTGCTTCCTTCATGTTGACTGCATTCACTTCATTCATACTAAATTTAGTCTTTATGTTGATCTACTGAAAGAAGATAGCTGGTGAGGTGTCAGTCACGACCACTACCACCTCATACCTTACTCACACTTATATATATATGAGAGGGAATATAACAGCAGCAGAGACGGGATATATACCCTGTGTATTTGAGAATATACACTGTGTATCTCTGCATATACAAGCTGAGAAAATTTACTTTAATCTCTATTCAGTAGACGAAATTCTTCTTCTCTAGTGGTGACCGTGTTTATGTACACACTTAATGGCAGTCGATAGGCTTTAAACCCGATTAGTCTGTTCTAACCGCAGACCTGCTTAAACTTACACAGCTTGGAAAGGATGTGGAGTGACTTTTGAAGAAAGTGGGGGGAGTGGAAGGAAACATGCGCAGTTTTAAGGATAGGTACGACGTGGGGGGAGGGGTTCCACGAGGGAAGAAAGACACAAGGCAGTCGTACGAGATTAAGATTCTGGTCGAGGGGCTGTGACTCGACCTTAAACAACAAACAGGCAATCTGGGATAGCCACAGGCTGGAGAGGGGGGGGGAGGTACATCTCAATGCTCCCTGGGATAATCCTCCCCGGGATAATTCTCCCCCCACTCTTACCATCTTGAAGTTCTTGATCCGAGGAATCGGAGCTGCTAGTGTCTCATAAGAGGATCAAACCTCGACACACAGAACGAGACCTAGTAGCGATCAGTGAAGAGGCGGGACCAAGAGCTGAGTCTCGACCCCTGCAACCACAATTAGGCGAGTACAAATAGAAGAGTACACACACACACACACACACACACACACACACACACACACACACACACCCTCTCTAGGTCGAGTGAGTGACTCGACCTTTCCAGGAGAGTGCCTTGATGCTGCTGCAGTGCTCGTGATCCACGGAATTGGGGCTACATACCTTTTCCACGTATTAGTTGTATTTATTAACCCACTGTCATGGTGATTACTCACAGCTAGACCGTCAATATAATAAATTCCCTGATCAGATGTGAGCT